AAAAAAAAAAAAAAAAAAAAAAAAAAAAAAACGAAAAAGGGAAAAAACAAAAAAAAAAAAAAAATCGATGAGAAAATTAAAATGAACGAATAAATAAATAAAATAAAAAAAATAAGGGAAAAAAAGAGAAAAGAGAAAGAGAAACTTTGTAGTATTAAAGGTAAAACTGGAAACACATTCAAACATGGATGTTCCCCCGGCGCCAGCACGTCCATTCATTTAACAACATTAATATAATATTCCATGTTCATAGAATTACTCTAAATGTATTAGTCTATTTGGTTATCCTTACTATGATTGAATCGTTAGTATTATTCTCCCTTGTTAGAGACTCGATCCACGATTACCCAGCAAACCCCCTACTCCACCTAGACGATGTTAAATGGGGAAGGTCGGAGCTTGCCAAAGACAGTCCGCCAGAAAATTTTTTGATGAGAAGCTCAGGGATCATTCTATTTCTACCCCTTTCTCCTTCATTCATTAATCCGGCTTGTCCTCCCTAAGCAATCCAGCATTCTGCAGTACCCGCGGGATTCTTCTGTCTTCGTTTTTCTACACTCCCTCCGACAAACAAACCAACCATAAAAACCGAATATCTGCCTCGAAACTCCAACTGCAATTCCCCCAGATGGCTGGAACCCCGAAACCTCCATCCTCTCCCGAAGTGCAAAATGCCTTAGCCCGCGCCAGAGAGTCTGATTCTGGTCCTGACGCTGATACTATGGCTATACTTGAAGGCTCCGTCCACGGTCTATGGCACCGTATCCGAAATGAGCCGGAATACGTGCTCAATCAAAAGGAATTCGCCTTGTTCAACTACTTTATTATACGCTATAAAAAGGAGCCTGAGTGTAAAAGAGCCGTGGAGCAGTTTTGGAATCATTATCGCGCAGACGACTCGGCCACCAACGGGAGCAAGACTTAGTGACTGTGTTGCGCTCGTCAAATAGCCGTTCCTATGCCTACACCACCTTCAGGCCCAAGGCTCCGAGAGAGAAAAAAATAATTGTGGGCGCCAAGCCATGATTAAGCTTGACAGTCGGATCAAGTAGATAATCTTGCGCTCAGAAACAGGCGCTCAGCAATTCCCCGTCAACGACCTCGTCGTCTGCCAAAACAAACAAGAAACTGGGAGGTGGCAGGAGGGCGACGGAATGAGACTCGATGGCCGTGGACATATGCATCTTGAGCCCTCCGAATCTCATGATTTCGGGGAAGTGCCTGTTACAGTTTTGATGTCCAGGTAATCTGTCGAGGATTGATTGATTGACCATGCATTCTGGTCCCCAAGTCCGAGCTGGTTGGTCCGATACCCGAGCGGACGAGTGCTCGGGTATAGCCGTCTCGACTGTATCCGTCAAAGACGACCGAACTGTTGAAATTTGCCAGATTCGAACGATGGCATTTCGATTTCCCTTTATGTTGCATATTCCATTTCTTTCCTATCTCCTCTGTGGTTTTTATGGAACAGATCTATCTTTTGTCTTATCACTACCTCCCTTTCAATTTGTTACTATCTGCCTGCTCCGATTCCAGCATGTCTTACTCTCTATTTTGCTTTTTTCCTTTTTTCCCCCTCTTCCACTCTTTGATCTGCTGCTTATTGAACAGGCTATGGCATTATTTTTCTAAAATAAATTGTTTCATCAAAACAATTCAGGGAGAGATCATCACTGAACTGGACCCTCTCCTGTCCGTGCCCCGCACTTACCCCTACGGGGACTTCTAGGTCCCTCGGCTGACGTGTTTTCTCATGTACATAACCACCAGCCGTTGGTGCTGTTCTACACAGTGAGCTGCGCCAGGGACCAGCCCAGACACATAGGACTTATTTTGAAGCGGAGTAGCCATTTCCAAGCTACTTTTGAGTGTACAGTGAAAAACTTACTCTTGGGTGAAGGAGGAGGAGGAAGAAAAAGAGGGTGGGGGAAGGTAAAGGAATAAAAATAAGAACAAGGCACGTCTACACTTTCACCACCACCACCAAGTCTGACTCGGAAAGCGGAAAAAGAGATTTGTTGTCTGGAAACGGACTCTTCCGGAGGGTCGTTAGTAGTTTACGTACCTTTGTTAACATGACACTAAGAGGCTCCCGCGTACGATAGCCATGCAGCTACACCTTAGATCCGCTGTAGTTCTGCACGAGGCCAGAAGCACGAAAACCCTCACTACTGCACCTGAGCGCCAATGGTTTGCTAAAGAAAACGTTTGTATAACTAGTAGGTACAGTAGTAGTAAGGTAGTCATGTAGACCATACCTGTACTAGTTTTCTATACTTAGTGAAAAGTATGGGTATATTACGTAGCGAGACCTGGTAAAGGAAAAATGAAAATGAAAAGGAATAAAGGATGGAAATAGAAAGGTGGTAAACACTTAGATCCTTGTACAACAGGTATTTGTTTACTAACTATTGACTGGTAAGTAATTATGACGGACCCTTTAAACTCTTCCCTTCCTCCCTTTCACTGATTCAGCCCATGTCCTCCTCTCGGGCGGGTTTTGGGTTTCCCTTGGCGCCCGCCCCCTCTTTCCCCCCGGTCAAGTACCACACTACAGTTATACACTATACCACCCCTGGTAAGTGGGGGCGGGGTGAGGGGAAAAGCGGCCAACTGAGAAAAAATAAAAATAAAATAAATAAAAATAAAAATAGAATAAAGAAAACGGCCGTAAATTGAACAAGACAACGAAATGAATCGAGAACTCCCCGCTGTCCTGGTTGCATCCAAATCGGGCTCCCGCGCGGACAAGGTTCCGCAGGCCTTTTCACTGGGTGACTGGCGCAATCTGATTTCAAGACCTTTTCGGTTACTTACTAGTAGTAACCAAGTACAACTACTTACTAGGCGTAAGCGGGTAACAGTATAAGTTAATCTGTACCTTGGTGGATTGTACTTACTAGCATCCTAGTGTTGGCTAGTAGTGTCGTAAGTGCCTCTTGGTCCCCTCGATTAAAGACTATTAGTCGCTTACGAACTACACAAGTCCTAGTAGTAGGCTCTGAGCGGCTACTAACTACAGCAGCTAGCTCGGTGTAGTACCTGTGTATCACCTGTGGGTGATTGCATACTCCGCGACTAAGTGAATGGTCATACAAGTAAAGAGTACCTAGTGTACGTGTTCGCTACTGGTTGTTAACAATACCGGTAGTACTGGCACAGGCGCTATAGGTAACATAGCCAGAGACTACGCGCGATATCAGCTAGCAATGAATATCTGCCTACCATACGTGCTATGGAACCCGCTTATGATATTGTCTGGCAGTAACTACCCATAGGCCTGCTATGCGCCCACGTCAATCATTGAAGGATAAGCCACCTATCTCCGCAGGACGAATGATGGGCATACCCCGGACATCTCGAGTGCATGGGGTGCAGACAAAACAGATTTGCCAGCAGAAAGACCCTGAGAAATATACTGTTAGACAGGAAGGGCACCGCAAGAGCCTCTGAGGGGGCCCAATAATAGATGTCAATCAAAGGGACAAACGAACAGGAGCATGTAATAATTTGGTAAAGTGAAGAAGGTTCTTGCAGGCACAAAAGTCTAGTTTTTGACCTAGCTGACTGGGATGTTTATATGCCTGCCCAGCGCTCCCCTTCATAATCAGACCCATTATAGATGTGATACACAGCTTCCAAGACCTTGTCTTGTCTTGATGAACGATAACATGTTTCCAGCCTTGCCGTGACTTATCGACTTATTACCCCAAGCCGTTGTCAAGAATTACCTGCACAGGAGAACCTCCTTCGAATGACACCCTCACTGAGATTGCTTTTAATTGATCTGATAGATGAGTATACCCCCAAATATACACTGGACACCGGTTAGTCGGTAAGCCAACGGCAATTGTAGGTCCAACTTACCATAACTACCCCGATGGTGACAATGATGCAATTGAAGCCTATCAGAATTATCTGCTTCCAGCTTAGAGGCTTCCCATGTACATTGAGGTAAAGCCAAAACACGCCTGGAAGATTGAAATAAACCAGCTGGCAAAGAATGAGCTCTGCAGGACAGGTGTCATCTGTTTCCGCGCCCAACGGGGTACCTCTCCCCTCCTTATTACCCCATATGTCCCGAGAACTTACTGCAAGGCCCAAGGTATCGTTGAATACCGGCGTGCTTTCCGAAACTACCCAGGCCAAAAACCATAGAGTCACGCATACAACGGCCCATAGAGATATTGCACCAAGGGGACGTGAGTGCATGGCATTCCTGCTATGAAACATCCGCAAGTAGATTGATTTCATCGCGACATGGGCGTTGACGGCACCTGCTATCACAATCTGACTTATGCGATCAGCTGGACGACAGAGGAGCACGCCTTTGGATGGGCCACCTACTGTCGGGATTGCGATACCATATGATATCTTCTTGAAGATCGGACTGACTGAATTGAGGGACGGGGAGGCAACATCATTTCCAGCCAGCACATGTATTACGATAGCCGTCACCATGTAGAGCGTCACCTCACTCACTTGCAATAAAGCTAATGCCCTCGGGTAGTCCCTCACGCCCCGGAGCTCTGAAAAGAACGCAAAGAAGGCGACATGTCCAGCATACGCAAATACAATATTTGCAATAGAAATTATTGACTGTGAAACGTAGGCGGTGATGATATTTGAGTATGGCTTGTTTTATTGAGAGATGCCCCAACCATGCTAGCGAAGACTGCTCCGAGGACACTAGCAAAGCTAACCGAGGAGAGAAACGACAGGCTTTCGAGACGTCTTGGGATGGTGAAGACGTTGGAAGGCAATCCTCCAGCCACGGAAAACAGAACTGTACAGCCCGAGTAGCCGGTAAGAACGCTCATCATGACGGAAAAGGTCAGTATATGGCTACCCATTATGAATACGAAGAAGATAAGCTGAGCAGCGCCTAGGATTTCACAGCCAATCCTTCCCCACAATATGGTTCCGGCATCAGCCATGCTATGTGCCTGAGGATAGCGACATTTGAAGTCTCCAATGACTAGTCCTGTGTAGGTAGTCAGCACCCCGACACCTATGATAACGGCAATACCACTGCGCCAAGTTAGCTTGTGCAGGAGTCATAGCCATTTTCTAGGCTAAGGAAATCGTACGGGAGAAGACCCAATGTAGCGAGCACTTTGGGGAAAGCCAGGATTCGCAGAGATATGGTCTCTGCTATCATGACTGGTATCGTTAGGACTTCAAATGTAACAGGCATGATTCAACCGAGATTGACTCACTCATTCCAGCCTGCCTGAAATCTAATAAGCATCACTGGCTAGCAGTTCTCAGAGATCTATAGCGCACTCACCACCAAGTCAGTGTTTTATACTTCACCTTCAGCCCGGTTTCATCTCCGACAGATACTCTCCCTCGCGGTTGGTTTGTGGCTGGGACACTGTGGCAACACGGTCACTCTCTGCCTTGGGGGATTCCATGCTATTCTCACAAGGCCATGAGGTCGCAAACCCGATACGCCACTGCGTGCCATGCCATGATTCGGTGAGCGTGCAGTATAAGATGTCATGCAAAGAGCCTGGTTCAAACACAAGTGTGTATGTAGTATGCAACAACTTGGCGAAAACAATGTTAAATAACCGTGTAATTCGTCGCGGGGAATCATGACTATAAGCTAGACAGTGGCTGAGGACAAGACAGGACATGACCAGGAAATCACTATTGCCATTCAGGGTAGAGAGGCTCACTTCTTGAGGAAAGCGGGTAGAGAAAGCCCTGTCGGGCAGGCGTTCTTTCCACGGCTGGTAACCTGAGCATCATGAACTTGCCTGATCTGTTTCCTTCTCGGTTGGCAGATGCCAACTACCATATGCATTGAGTGCTCAAGGCTTGGCGATTACCCAGCTGAAGCTTCAGGCCTAGCTGGTATATCCCTCCCCTTTGTGATATGTTTCATATCTCTGTTAAGTCATCCCATTTACTCGAAGGCAGGCTGAGCACATACACGATTATATTACCCGCCAGCGCCCTTTGTAAGCATAGAGGAGCCGAAAAATATTATCGCTTTGGCTGAGAAAGTGAATGAGGCTAGTCTTCAATCAGGTCCATCATACATTATGGAATCAAAGTTTTACTTCAAAACTATTTATACATAAGGCAATACTCTATAGCTCATGACACTTCTATTTGTTTGCCGGGGACTCGGGATGTATCAGCTTGTTAGAATCGGACGAGGGGATGTCACTATTGAGCACATCCGCTGGGGGATCTGAAAGTTCATTAGTCAGGTCTGTCATGAATGAGCTATTCTAGTGCGGGTCTACTCACCGGACCGAGCAAAGGCCTTTCTTTGTGCGATATCCAGATCCTTTACTCTACCCGCCTCGACATCATCCCGCGTCATGCTCAGGAAAGCCTTTGGTAGACCCATTGAAGAAAGAAACTGGACGCTCTCCTTCCATTCAGAATCTTTCCGGTTCTTATCCCACTTCAGCTCCTCACCCATGAGATCGATGATGTTAGGAAGGGCTTCGAGTGCTGCTTCGGCGTTCAAAAATGCCAACCGTGTTCTGCGAGCAATGACATCGGTGGCAGTCTGTGCATACTCGTGGCGCACAGCATACCTAATTTCACCATCAACGAAGGGGTATAGTCTGGAGATGCGTTGGCCGCGGACGGGGAAGCGAGCATTTGTGGGGGAAGACAAAGCCGCAACCTGCCAGGCTCGGTCACCGTATGACTCCGTTAGATGCTTAGCCACATCCACCTCGAGTCCGAAGTGCTGGATGAGGTTGATGAAAAGGGTTTTGGAGAAGCCATGGGCACCAATCAAGCGAACCTGGTGGGTTTGGCAAGATCCGTCAAGAACAGCACCGTCGGAGACCAAGCCACTGCCGCCGACACCACTGATATCCGGAGCGCCGGTGACTCCGCGAGGCTTCAAGCCGAACACGCCAATGGCTTCGTCCACCGCCTCTTCAGCCATCTGCCGGTAGGTAGTCCACTTGCCACCAGCACAGGTCAAGAGTCCGGACGGTGAGACAGTAATGAGATGGTTGCGGACCAGAGCCTCGGAGCTCTTTACCTTAGGATCACGCACCAGCGGGCGAATTCCAGCCCAGGCAGCAAGGACGTCACTCCGCTCAATATTGATGTCTGGAGCCAAGTAATTACGGACTTCGGAAATGATCCAATTGATATCCTTCTCAGAAGGCTGGGGTTGAGGGGTGATCTCGGTCGGTTGGTCCGTTGTACCGGCAATGGTGTTCCCTTGCCAGGGAAGGAAGAAGATCACACGGCCGTCCGACGTAGATGGGTCAATGAGGCCCATATTCGAAGGGCTGTAATAGCCAGGTAAGATCACATGAACACCTGAGCTAGGAGCCACGATCTCCTTGATGCCGGGTTCGTCCATCTTTCTGATCGAGTCGGTGAAGGGGCCAGTTGCGTTAATGATACCCTTTGCTTTGATCGTGAACTCCTCCGTCTCTTGGCCATCTCTTCCGGGGATAAGATCCTTGACACGAGCGCCGTTCAACTTCCCGGAGGAGTCCTTTTCCAGGCCAGTGACTTGCATGTGATTGACAACAGTGGCACCGTATAACGCAGCTGTCATGGCCAGAGAAACATTCATTCGAGAGTCGTTGTGGGCACCATCTAGTGAATGCACCGTTAGCGAGGGGCCATCTATGTGTCGCGGGTGGGGTTGGGGGAAGAGACTGCATACCATAGTATACCATGGCTCCAAACAGGTTGTCCTTTCTTAACATAGGGAAGGCATCGATGGCCTTGCTCTTGGTGAGGAAGTAGGAGCTCTCGATACCTTCAGACCCAGCCAAGTAATCGTAGAACTTTGTTCCCGCCCAGAAATAAGGCGCCTGCCACCATTTCTGTAGCGGAACCATAATAGGAAGCCAGCTAGACAGATGAGGGGCTGTGTTCAAGAAATACTTTCGCTCCCGCAGAGCCTCTTTGACTAGCTTGTACCTACAATAGGACGAGTGGCACTTAGTACATCATGGTCGTCACCCAGACAATACAGCGGAGGGGCGAGGGAAGAACTAACTGGTTGTAATCCAACTCCCAAACAGCCTTTTCCAAATATCGAACACCACCGTGAACGAGTTTGGTACTCTTGCTGCTCGTTCCGGCGCTGAAGTCGTCCCTCTCAACAATGGCAACCTTCAACCCCCGTGTGGCAGCATCAAGGGCAATACCCGATCCAGTGGCACCACCGCCAATGACGAGCAGATCATACTCTTCAGAGTTGCTTCCAGCAGAAGATCGCTTTAAGTCTTGGATCTGCTCGAGGCGGGATTTGATATTGGGAAAGCTTGGGGGCACGAGCTTGCCTTCATGGTAGCCCGGCGGCGGAACTGCGGGGGCTTCTGAACCAGGGATATTGCGGGGACGATAAGAGATGTAGAGAACTCCGGCTCCTGTGGCAGCCGCCAGCGATGTATAAAGCAGAGGTCGCAGAACCCTACGAGACTGGCGGGAGGCCATTGTACCCAGGAAGTCGAATTTTCGGAACAAAAAGGAGCAGGCGAGCTAAAGCAAATGGGTAATTAATGGTAATAGAGGAGGGATCCCTGTGAGAGATGCGTGCTGTATGTTCTATACTCAGAGGCGCTCTACACGCACGCGCACACATCGAAAATCAGCCGGACATTGACTCGAAACTGCGGTGTAACCGATACGCAACAAGGTAGGCGGAGAATTGGGGCGGCATACCTTCCACGGAAGTGCTTGACTTGTGTCAATTGAGACGAGGGGGCAAAAGAAAAGAGAAAAAGAGGAACACGGAACACTTGCCCAAGAACAAGTATCAGGACGAAGTGGTAATTGTAGAGTTGGGGGGGAGGAAAGAAACGACTTAGAATATCTGTATATACTGACGTACGTATGAAGAGAGAGTACGGCTCCGGAGGAAGAATGGGGGAGGGGGATGAGATTTCGTGAAGAATGAGGAGAGGAGAGTAAGAGAGTAACTAGAGAAGAGAGAGGAGAGAGGAGAGGTCGAGGTTAAGGATGCGAGGGATATAGGAATGCCGGATCAGCTGCCCAGTTCGAAAGGTTTCTTGTACCGGGGGGAAGGAATGGGAATGAATTAGTATTTACATACTCTACAGGCCTAATCCAGGGCCGGGTAACCTTCCACCTTTTGAAATTTGGGGGAGGCTGCGTCATGAGCTCAATCCGGGAAGGAGCTGGATTGGAAGGAGAAAATAATGGGGGCGGGTCGCTATGACGGTGTCGCAGCGTCAATCAGGAATGTCCCACCAATCAGCACCTCGGCAGCCCCGGGCGTGGATGGGCCTGATCACTGATTTGCCTGCCGCGCCCGAACTCCGGAACCGCATGTGACCAGAAAAGATTTTGTCTCTTCTGTAAATGTTCCCCTTGGGGGAAAGGGATCGGTCCACTTGGGTCTTTTCAAGGCTTCCAGACTCGCGGTCTATCAGGTTTTACCCTATCTAGATAGTCCTACTATTGTCACATCCACCTTGTTCCTATTTCTTTCTTTCTCCTCCTGCACCCCCTAAGTTAACCTACTCCCCTTTTATTTTCCTCTTCTCCATAGTCTGGATCTGTGGAGGGCGGAATAGTTACCAGTTTAATTTATTCATTTTAATTTATCTTCTTATTGCACAGAAACGTATACAATGGTTTTTCTCTGCAGAATTAAGTAAGAAAGGAATAGAAAAGAAAAGAAAAAAAGAATTTGCTTGGGGTTAACGGAGCTCCTACCCAGGAACGAGGAATCAGTATTAGTAGTACGATCATTCGCAGTGCGGACTACCTATCTAGGTAAGTCAACTAGTGTCTCTAGCAATCACGCGACCTGTCCACGTTTTCATTGCGGATCTTCCGTCTATTCTAGGATACGTAGACCTGTCTAGAGTATTATGTCTGGCACATGGATCGTCCCTGGTTGGATCTCAACTTTTACATGTGTATATATACATATTAATACTTGCGAGTTGTTTCTTCGTACTGCAAAACGGAAGTATGAGAGATGGTTAGGTTAGAACTTTGATGCATATAAGACCTGGTCGTGGTTACTGCTGCTCACTTGGCTTATTATCTATATACTAACTGGTTATATGATGCCTCCGACAATACCAAGACAGGAAAGGGGGAGAGTGTGAATGCTAATGATCATTCACTGTCTAAGTACGGCAGTCGGCAAATAAAGGGTTGAGTGGCCTTGTTTGTCGGGTTCAGTTTCTCCACTTGCCCAGCCCAGCCCAGACCCTGAGCGGGTATGTGTAGACTGGATACATACTATACATATAATATCAACATACATTGTTAGTTGGAAGTAATCACATTGAAGTCTTATGTAATCACATGTGCTTTGATGTACTGTGGGCATAGACAGTGTCGAGGTGGTCTCACTCTCTCCAATTGCATGGCGTAATCCTAAACATTTTGGTAGATGCCCTCGGGAAAGTAGGCACCTTGAGATAGATGTGGTTCCCTCGCTTTTCCATGGATGCCCAGCGGGACTTATTTCTTGGTTGGGGGTGTATATTTTACCTGCTATGCGAATGCGAGTCCCACCGCCCTACGTCAACCTCCAAGGACTTGACGGTGTCTACCCGACTAGATCACCACTTCCAGTAAGTATATTGGCTTGACTTGTGTCTCGTACCGTGACCATGCTTCCCTTCGATCCAGCTTTCCATGTCGATCATGATAGAATCCTCCGCTCCGCCTACCCCTCTTCCACTTCTCCTGATGGAGCGCGCAGTGACAATGCGACCGGTCAGTCATTTTCCCAGTCCAGGTGGGAAAACACCCACCTGATTTTCCCGATCGGCTTGGAGAGTGGGTCAAAAGCCGTCGCATTTGTCTGTGCATAAGTAGAAAGTAGATAGACTAGTAGACTATCTCACACTCACTGCATTTATTTCTGTCTCCGCAAATAACTCCCGCTGCCAAGGGTGCTCATGCAGTCTAGTCTTCAATAGACCCTGTCCCTTCTTCATCGGTCAGTACCAACTCCGTATTTAAGCCACCATCAATCACCCAGTAATCCAGTAGGTTTCTCCTTTCTTCCCAAGCACAGGACCGTTCCCATATGAATCAACGTATTCCTTTCCGATTTTTTTTTTCTTTCCTTCTTCCTTTTTTTCCCCCTCTGCACTATACAAGACAATGTTGCTTATCGGGAAATTTCAACTTTAAAAATGTGGCGAAGAAAGAGTGTCTAACAATCATGAAGATAAAGCCAGACAGATGGAAAGAAGTAGAGACAAGGGCATACAGCGAGAGTAGAAAAGAAAAGAAAGGAAAGGGCAAGGGGAGAACTAAAAGAAAGGAGATACTAACTGGTCGCCGTAAGCCATCATACCCTCATACCTAGATTTCATCGAGAATGGGAGTGATAACTACAGTAGTATATTCAGTCAAAAAGCTGCCCTTCCATGCTTTGAATTGAACTGCAAATGATTTGACGATAGAACAATGGCTTGGGAATGCCACCCCGCCCACCGCATCGTAGCGTCCAGCTGCGTGGCCATTTATCCTGCTTCCAATGGACAAGTGTAATTCCGGCCAACCTCCGATATCAAGGCTAAATAATTAGTCTACTACCGCAGTTGGTACAAGGAAAGCGAGATCTATGCTTAAAGTGCCATAGCAGCAACCGAGGTCATCGTCCAAAGGGATATAGAGTAAGTATATCGACAGTACGTATTGTACCTTGAGAAGCGGAAATTTTCCGGCTGCGGAAACTTCTCGGTTGCTTCCACTCTTCCCCTGCCTGAGTTACCAACTATGATCGACCCCCCAGGTTCCACAGTCCAGAAACCTGGGGTAAAATCAAGTTAGCTAGCAGTATCCCTCACATCCTGGCGACGGAAATGTTCCTTCCTGCGAGAGGGGAGGGATAGCAAATCCGGAACGTATCACATGTGTACCAGGGCATATGATGCTGCGTTAAATTCAGTCAACTTGCCCAGCGTCAGCTTAACGTCTGCCCCCTCTGCTTAACGACTGCACAGCCAAGCAAGAAACACGGTTTGCCCATTATGGCCATCGCAGCAGTTCTTTCGTTCCTGCAGCAAAGCATTCTCGAGTCTCCGTTGCAGTCATTGGCTGCAACCGCCTTCATCGTCCCGGTTCTCTATATTATAATCAACGAATTCATTCGAGCCTCCGCTCGAGTATCCGGTCTTAAGGGCCCCCGTGGTCTTCCTCTGATCGGAAACCTTGCGCAGATCCGAAAAAATGCCGCTGAACAATATCGCATATGGTCTAGAACGCATGGACCCGTTTATCAGATTCAGCTGGGAAATATTCCAGTTGTTGTCGTGAATTCGGCGGCGGCGGCAAAAGTTCTTTTTGGACACAATGCACAAGCTCTGAGTTCAAGGCCGGAATTCTATACTTTCCACAAAGTAAGCCCCCGATAGCATGCTTCCCTAGGCTTTCTCTATTGTTATACCCATTTCTTTCCCGTGTCAATGGAATATCGCTCAAGATTGTGCATCAGATTGTATCGAACACAGCTGGCACAACAATCGGTACTTCTCCTTACAGTGAGTCACTTAAGAGGCGCAGAAAAGGCGCTGCTTCAGCCCTCAATCGTCCTTCTGTGGAATCATATATTTCGCACCTAGATGTCGAGTCTAGATCTTTCGTGGATGAGCTCTACAGATATGGAAATGGTGGTGAAACACCAGTGGATCCTATGCCGATGATTCAACGTCTAAGCTTGAGCTTGTCCTTGACTCTCAATTGGGGGGTACGTGTGGCCTCCCAAGAAGAAGACCTATTTGCCGAGATTACCCACGTCGAGGAAGAGATCAGCAAGTTCAGAAGCACCACTGGCAACCTGCAGGACTATATTCCTCTTTTACGACTAAACCCTTTCAATAGCAACTCAAAAGTTGCCAAAGAAATGAGGGATCGACGTGATCGGTATCTCACCGCTCTAAACCGAGACTTGGATGATCGCATGAAGAAAGGCATTCATAAGCCCTGCATCCAGGCGAACGTTATCCTTGACAAAGAGGCAAAACTGAACTCCGAGGAACTCATATCAATCAGCTTGACCATGCTTTCTGGAGGTCTCGACACAGTCACGACCCTTGTGGCTTGGAGTATTGGCCTTCTCTCCCAGCGGCCTGATATTCAAGAGAAGGCCGCAAAGGCGATTCGAGATATGTATGGGCATGATCAGCCCTTGTGCGATCCCATGGATGATCAGAGATGCGCCTACGTGGCAGCCTTGGTTAGAGAATGCCTAAGGTACACCTTGAGAAAGAGAACCCAAGCTCAGAGTTCCGCAACGCTAAGTGGTGATGTACAGATATTTCACAGTCCTTCGTCTCGCGCTTCCCCGGACTTCGATTAGAGATGTGGTATACAACGGCACAGTAATCCCCAAGGGCACAGTGTTCTTCTTAAATTCCTGGGCCTGCAATATGGGTAAGTCGTTACTCGATGAAAGATCGTAGTATCTTGCAATTATCAGCTAATGCCTCATCTCGTAGACCCCGAAGTCTGGAGCGACCCCGAGGAGTTCCGGCCGGAAAGATGGCTTGAGCAACCAGACGCACCTCTTTTCACGTATGGCATGGGCTATCGTATGTGCGCTGGCTCACTACTCGCGAACCGTGAACTGTATCTTGTCTTTATGCGCACACTAAATGGTTTCCGCATCGAGCCACTTGGTGAGACTGACTGGCATCCTGTTCGGGGCAATTCGGACCCTACAAGTCTCGTGGCAATCCCAAAAAAGTATAAGGTTCGATTTGTTCCAAGAGATGAAAAGGCACTCGCAAAAGCACTGGGCCGGTGATTGGCAATTTTGTCTTACGGTCTGTATTGAGGGGGTGAAGCGAACAACTGATGTTGCCTACAACCTATATACTATACGGAAGCTGGGTATGGCGACTGGCTTGTGCCTTGGACATTAGCACACTACGCCGGGGAGAATTTCATTATTCCCGGCTCACCTCGGGAGATTCCAGGGACATCAGCTCGAGTCAAATTACTATTAGCGACCACCTGCGTCCGGACACTTTCTTCAAACCCTCCTGGTTGTATAAAATTTAGGACTACAACTTAGCAATACTACTGTAGAGATATTGCAAATTATTCTTGATGTCATCGCCATCTGGAAGCGATGGCAGCTTGCAATGGTTACTCTTAAAGGACATAAAACCAGGATTCTGCTCCGAGGGGCCGTAAATTGGCACCTTGAGGCCATTATCTTGCTTATTCTTCTTTCTATCCCACTTTCTTTCCATCACTATCTCCCTTATGTACCTTCCCCCTGGTCCGCCCCTCCCCTTGCCCATCATTGCTTACCCCGTCTCCCACTACCTTTCATGCCTGACTGTTTTCTGTGCTTCCTCATGCCAAGTGCCACACTGCAGGCTTACGTGGGTATGCATATTGTCCAAAACCGCTTGTTCGTATATTTGATGAGGGGCATATAGCTTGCGTGATAAATTGACATGACAATAAACGGACGGCCCTCTCGGGAATGGGAGGTGATACTGGATCGTGCTGCTGAAGTGCGAGTCGCCTGTAGGTTTCTTTCGCAATAGCTATTAATGCTGGGATACAAGGGTGCTCATGGAGGATAGATTTGGGAATAGAACTCTATGAGGACTATAATCCCATGGCGCTAAGATGCGAAACGTCTTTTCAGGTCACGGACGTGGTCGAAGCTGCATGCATAATCCCGTAACTCATTCTTGAATTGACTTGCTACCACAACGGACTGTGATGAACTGCTCTTGACAGATGAGAGTGACGTCTGCGACGAAGATGGTGATAGCACCCTTTTGGGGTATTTGAAACCAGATGATCCAGCCGGCACCGTTTCCATTGTTGCGAAAGATCTGGTTACAGAGCACCCAGATTGACTGGGGACCCTAGTTGGTTGTGGACACACGATCGCATGGGGTGCTGTCGCCTCCTTCGAGACGGTATCTAGCTCAGCCAGCCTGCAGGCTTGGGAGCAATATGGTTCCCCCAAGGTCTGCCGGTCACAAGCAAGGCAGAAGTCAAGCGACCATTCAGTTGCCATATTGATTGTTTAAACAATCAGATTGAGAACCTGACTTTGTCCTCACAAAGAGGCAACAGAAGGGGCTGGCGTTGGGAAAGTGTGGAACTTTGAATGAATGGGCCAAGCAATACCAATGCAGAACTAGAGGCTGTTGTCTCGGTGATATGTTACCAGATTTGGGGCAATCGAATGCGCTTCGGATATTGATAACTCAGAGTTGCTAGTCGGCCTCTTGTCCGTGAACGGGAATGGTTACTGCTGCTGATAATGCAATTATTTTTTATTTGCATTGAGTGAGCTTCTATTCGGGTGGGTGAAGAGCGTGAGGAGAGCTAGCAGATACGACGGATTTGGTGTGGAGGTTATCATATATGAAAGGTTCAAGGCCATCACACCATAGTAATCCACTTCGGTATCATTCTTGCGAAGCAAGAAGGTCACGCAAGGCCAGGGTGCACTAGCAAAGGGACCTAACCAAGGACGTGAGGGTAGATCAAAGTCGGTGGATCCAGATCTGTGTCAGATGACAACTGATGAGATATCTGAGGCGTATAAAAGGGTTATTGTTGTGATTGAATGGGAGGGGTGCGGAATAGGTTCTTCATCCAGTGTGTAGCATGGTCTCCAGGTCACCCAGTCCGCACAGGGACAAGTGAGACATAAATGACGGCAGTTTATGGGGGTAATCCATATAAGTATATTTTATATATGGGTAGCTAAGTGCTCCAAAGACGCCAGTGACATGCACATAACCCCTTTAGGGGAAGGAGGGGGAAATTTGGCCCAATCTCCAGGAGGCACGACGTTGTAGGATTTACGGGTAGATTGTTAATACTAGTCTGTACCCGATAGAGCATACATTGAACTAGTGCGGAGCATTATTTAGATCTATCCCATACTTATAAAACTGCTTGGACTTGTCCAGGGGCATATGGGACTATGCCAGTGTATAGTAGTCTCGGAGGTGTGCACAACTATTGGTCTAGTAGGACTGGCTCCTGTTGTCACGACCGACAGTTTCTGGTGTATCGCAAGTACTAATAAGTGCCACTCACCATTGTACCACGGTGAATAGTGAGCTGTTTGTATGTCATTGTAATAGAAATACTATTTAAACCTGACTACTGCTTGCTGTTCCTGGCACAAGGTAAGTATCAGGTATTTATCGACACCCGAGGTACCCGATACGATACCTGCTTTTCCTTATTATGGGTTCTGTCTAAGGCAGGCCGAGTGGAGTAAAAAAGAGGGGGCGACCGGTGGCTAACCTGGCCTTTCGCCCCATCCCTTCCTTGTAGTAGTCTATTGCCTATCTCAGCCTAGTTGGCTTTTTCCTGCACGGCTGCTGGTGGCCCCAGCGCATTCTAATTCAAGCACCTGCTGTAGTCACTGGTCAATCCACACCCAACGGCACATATGGTTGGACCATCGGATAATGCATTCCCCAAGGTCACTATGGTGGTGGTCATGCTCACAAGTCAGCAGCTCCTCTCATGGTTCCCCTTGCTGTACAGACACTAAATAGTATTGCTCCATGATGGTACTTACTAGTTATGTGGAGATATTCCTCGTATATACATACCCATGTTGTCTTAGTTTCTAGAATTTCACCAGCAATGAGCAGGCCTGCGTATGTTCAAGACATATAGTAGTTATACTGCCTTGCCTGTACGACAGTAGTCTACATGAGATATGTATGCCGACGTCTTGGTGTGACAGCAGGGTGTCAAATCCATACAATCGCAGAGACAACATTATTCTTGCCTTCCCCGCCCTATCCGCCCATTGCGTACAGAGGGTGTGTACATGATAGCAGGCATCGAATCTATTTGATTCATCCCAGAACCACACCGTAGTTCGCCCGCGTGAGAACGACTTGGATCTTCCTGGGACGCAACCTCTTAGTTATTCCCTTCCCCCGGCCCCGGCCAACACGTTATTTTCCTGATATATCGCGAAATTCCAGGGTATCTCAGATGGCATGGCGATGCTAAGTATGAAGGGTTTGCCCTCATATCCCACGTTCTGGTCTATGAAATTCATCCAGCAGCAAGTGTATTCATTGATGTTCTGTTACAAATTTGTGATCTAGTATTAGCCAGGTATCGGACATTGCCTGTTATATACGGGTTTAGGGATTTTGTGTATTGGTGGCCAAGGACTGTACTTCAGAGCCAGGCGATACTATCGGGACACCAATAGCAACTTGTATCTAGTTGGTCTTTAGTCTTAAGCGCCGACGAAGGTGTAGAAACACACGAATGTGGGTTTGGTGTGTATAGAGCCATGGATCAGGGTCTTCGACTAATATATGATCCAGTGTTGTATGTAGGCTTAGAGCGAATACAGGCATATTCGCATGCTTATTGGTGATTTGGCTTTCTAAAATAAAGGAGCAAAAAGTTGGAGTTGCGGGGAATCGAACCCCGGACCTCTCCCATGCTAAGGGAATATTATACCACTAAACCACAACCCCATCTTATACACACCCAGGCCTTACTTTTGATATATGTGATGTTTCTATCGATCGCTAGACCTTGAGATACGCAACATTGCTGTAACGAGTGTAATCATGCTATAATAACTAACATCTGAAATTGGCGGCACTATATAGGCTCTGTGTATACTTGATTCGGTGCATGTAACATAGTTCGATGGTTTACCAAAAAAAAATGTATAACTGAATACACCAAAAAAATGGAGTTGCGGGGAATCGAACCCCGGACCTCTCCCATGCTAAGGGAATATTATACCACTAAACCACAACCCCTCTATAGTATACTCCTTCCATTGAAGGATTAAAGAGTCCTACAAATACTATACGTAACGACCGCACTGTATGTGGTGCGAACCACACTATGATATCGATACAAAATGCTTCTTTAGGCTTAGCCCAATCCCAGACACACGGACGGCCTCCATTGTATATCATCTACCTAGTCATGTAGGTGATAAACCGGTCTCCCAATGTCTCTGGAAAGTGGCCAGCTGAGCTTTCACACAATTGATTGTTTGGAATCGGTATTTATATTTTTAGTTTCCTTTATGCCTTCACTCCACTTAACCCTGGTTCGTTGCAAGGTGTGTGTACGATAGAATCGGGCAACCCACTTTAACTACCCGTAGTAGTTCTACCTGTATGAATTTCTACGTAGTTAATGCGCGTTCTGGGGCTTGGAATCCTGGTTTCCCACTAGATGACCAGGCAGTTGGCTTGTATGAAGTAATTGGAAATCTGATCCTAAGACGCACTGGGAACGGGTTCTGACAACGTGGCCTAGAGTGTCATCGATTTGGTGATTGGTCGGCGAAACGGTACTGGCACATCTACAGTGCATATTATATATAATATTCATGTGTGTGTCATGAGTCAACGGTAACACGTTACCATATCATCCCACTTCAAGATGCAAAATAGGTGAGAAATATCGCAGTACCGAGTGAATACACCGAGCCACAAGACATGCCTAGACCGCAATGTCTTATTTCCGGATCACTCTAAGATGCAACCCACCAGAAGAGCAGACGCAAGTACCAGGACCACCCGATAGAATTATTGCCGTTCACACGCCGGAAAGCTGGTAAATCATACCTGGCAGTCGCAGACAGAGGTCTTGCCATCGTGTTTTGCGAGCCAGCAACAGAGCAATGACCGCCCGCAGCAAGGGTCCTAGGCACCAATGGGAGCTTTAAGAAAGTGTTTAGCTCCAATTCTCGTGACACCTGCATATCGAGCGTCATCCAGAGAGCTAAGCACCGACCAGAACTTAACCCGCAGTACAACCCCACAGTACTTGCTTTAGTCCGAACATCTCAGCACTTCATTGACACGCTTAGTATTAAACAGCAGCACTCAGTTCTAGATTCTTTGCCATTGAAAGCATATATGGGGTTGTGGTTTAGTGGTATAATATTCCCTTAGCATGGGAGAGGTCCGGGGTTCGATTCCCCGCAACTCCATTTTTTGCCTCTGGCTTAGAAACGTGATCTTCATGTTCATGGTAAGTGCAGAGTACAATGGCCTAGTGCGACGGCAGCAGGAAATTGTCACAGAGTATCTTCCTTTCTCTTCCATTATATACCCACTCCGAGGTGGAGTGCTCTGAGTATGTAACTCGAAGGACACAAAAGATGTCAATAACTATCCCTCCCAAAAGAGTCTCAAATTTTTGATGTTGCACCTATGCTCTCGCATACTTTCAATGCACAAATTCGTATCATGCCAGATCTATTGTTGCCCTAGTATCCCGTCGTTGAGTCCGTGTCCACAACATGAGTTGCAATCCGATGCGACTGCCAACGGAACACATGAGCATAACAGCGTATGCGGCAGGCACACGGAGAGGGAATATGAGTCGGACTCATTTTCTGCTGAGACTACATTATGGACTCCTCCCCATTAACGCATGCGCGCTTCCCAGCAAACTACCGGGCGGGAAAGCAAGTAGCCCACTGAAAGCCGTACCCTTCGATAGGCTGATCGACAAGGCCCCTTCAAATCTCGAGCAGCACGAAGAAAAGGCCGATAATTCCATCATGCGTAGTGTGTTGTAGGAAATACTATCTCTGCCATTAAAGCAAGTTTTTGGACCTAGTCCGTGCTTGCCTAACCATCAAAGAGAGAGAGAGAGAGAGAGAGAGAGCTCCTGCTCGTCACCCAGAAGAGGAAACCGTTCCACGGACAAACGCCCCTCTAGGCAAAATAACATACCCCAAGGCACTGTTCCCCTACGCGATATTCCGACAGCCCCAGGAGAGGCTCAATTTGCAATGAGAAAGCGGCCCCCTTCCCCCATCCTGCGTCAGAGCCCCCCTGCCACAAACAACTGTAACTTTCTGCATCCGATCCTATAGCTTCCAACAATGCCAGAGATGGCCAAGAAGATCCACGACGTCCAGCTCGTAGTTTGTAATTGTATGTAGGCGACGATCCAGCATTTTGTAATTGATATTCCAGTGGATCCCGTTACTCTACTCGACCGTGCAGATGACAGCTCACCTGCTAACCCAATGCGAGTTCGGCTCAGTCCCCAGGCACTTTGCTCCCTGCCAAAGGACGTCCGTGGACGCATAATATGCAGGCCTCAAACCAATAGTGCGTACTTAATGATTCAGAGGCCAGGCTGCTCTTCCTGCCTCAAAACGGGGATCCGCACTAGAGTAGCAGGCATAGGTGAGTCATTCGGTGGTTTTTGGGTAGTGGAGTCTGGCGTATGTTCCAGCGGTAAGGTCAAGTTCGCAGCTTTCGCTTTTGGTTGATCAGCATCGTTCGAGAGCAAAGCTTCATTACAGAGCAAACTTACTCGAGGCCATGTTGATGGCCCGCAGCACATTATCCCAATTTGCAAGAACACAAGCGACAGCTAAAGCCAACATGAAAGACGATCAGGACATACTCCACCATGATAATTGAGTCGACAAACCTTCTGTGCCATCCTTGAGAGTTCCAAGCTTGCCCTGCAAAGCCTGCATCTGCAATGCCAGTGCTGCACTCATATCACGAAGTTGCCTCAAGTTATCCAATTCAGCCCTTTTTGCTGCAATGCGGGTTGCTAGGACAGAGGACTGTTGCTGTGAAATTGTTGTAGATTGCTGGTTTGGCTGACGATATGAGGATGTGGCTGAGGCTCCAGGAGGGAGCATGGAAGCAGTACGAGGCATGTATGCCATGATGTAGAAGATATTTTGCTACTGGCCGCGGTTTGCTGGAGTCTGACCCGATTTGATGTTGGTAGGGCGGGGTATAAATGAATAGTGAATAGCGAAAGACGCAGGCTGCACAGACTGCACGCTAGCTGGTATGACTGCAGTTATAGCTTGTAGATCCAGTGAAGAGTTGTATGACACGGGAATGTCGGATTCTATAGGGAGCTGCTATTAGAGGGTGAATTGAAAGTTAATACTGTATGAACGAGTCATCACGACTGGCTTCTATCGATATTATGATGCACCGTTCGAGCGGTCGCAGACCGACCGCAATCACACTAGTCCCGATAAGGGCATTTGTCAACAACCATACCCGCGTTTGTCAACTATTACGGGGCCACATCCACCCACTCTTGTTTACTCACCGATTAAGTCGGATACGGGGGCGAGATCACTATCTACAATTACCGAATGAGTGTGGATGCTGGCTGAATTTATTGCTTCTGATACACTTACTCTCTGGGTGATTGACTGCCTACAGAATAGACTGTGGAAGGACCAACAGCCAGTCTTGCCTCCTTATGCCGGGTATGGCTCGCTTAAATGAATCGTCAGCTCCAACAGAGCATGTCGAGGCCCGTAAGCACCGCAACCCCTTCCCCCGTGGAATTCTACTGAAGCTGACTTTAGCGTCATACCAGTAAAACGACGGTTTGTGCGACAGAATCGTGAGATCGCTCGAGTAAACTCGATACAGTCCCTCCGCATTCGCAGCCTCGAATCCGAAGTCTCTCATCTCCTCTCAGAAAATGTCTCGCTTCGGGAGCAAGTAATAAGTCTTAGTCAGGAGGTAGAGAGATATGAGGCTGTCCGGCTACTCCAACATGGTGTTTACGACATCAAGACCAGACTAGACAGCAAGTTGGCGGAGCTGAACAACCTGGTGGCTGACCTAGGCGCACTTCCGCGCACATTCTACAGCAAATGTGCAGAGAATTCTCAAGATCCAAATCAACTCCGGGCACTGTCGGATTGGAAAGCGAAGACAACCAATGATGAGCTCAATCACGGGAAAGACGAAGAGGGAAGGCTTCCTGTCATCCTGGAAGACAAATATTACCCCAGAAAAACATTAGAGTAATAAACCGGGACCCCGAGACTTGATTCTATAATGCTTACCATCAACAGGCCACAAGAGCTACAAGATTTCCGATATAATACCGCCGATAATCTGCGATCTCCCACCCCGGAAGAGCCTGTAGCCACGCGACCAGACACAGCGGACGACAGCTCCTTTACGAATGATTCTTCCGATATCATAAATGCGCAGCAGGCACCGACTTACAATGAGCACATGTCGGACGAAGACGAGGCAGTTTTGCCCCCTACACTTGAGACCAGGAAAAGAAAAAGGCCCATTCCAGCATCAAAGCAAATGGAAAGCTCTCGCATGGATCACGGGGCGCCATCGACACGGAACAACCCTGGGACTAACTTCAGCCCGGAAACCAAGCGCAAATTTTCGGTGCATCACGGAAAGATAATGGAATCGTTATCGAATCACCCCGACGTTCCACGGACAAGCATGCAGTCACCATCACCGGTGAGAAAGAACGAGCAGTCGCTGTCGTCAGAGGCTGATGATAGTCCATCGGGAGGGAAGGCCTCGCTTTTGACAGAACAGGCAATGAGTCACAGGTCGGCAAAACGGAAAGCATTGGAGCATAGTATGTGCCGTGTCGCGCCACTGCAATACTGAGGATTTAATCAGCTAATGAAGATGTAGGAAGCACAAATATGAACATGACCAGCCCAACGAAAGCACGTACTACAATGGTGCAAGAGAAGCCCCAGAAAGACACAATGCCCTCCATCGACGAAAAGGATGTTCAAGTGGAGTTGTCCCCAGCGCTACTCGAGAAAGGCACAGATCTCGAGCAGTCGAGGCAAGAGACGCCTCTACAGTATCGGATCCATCAATCCACAGATGAACAGAAGCATGACGAAAACACCATGGTTGAAACCCAGTCAAATACGCGGCGCTCCACGCTACCAGAAATTGAGAGCGCACCGAGGAATTTGCCTGACGTGTCTGGCCCAACGAGGCCTGCCAGGCGCCAGAGAGCCATTGTGAGCTATGCGGAGCCGAATCTACGAGACAAGATGCGGAGACCTACGAAGGAATTGATAGCAGCAGTTGGCGATCAGCCAAGACGAAGCTCTAGCTCCCTCAATGTACGGCTGGACTCGAACGAGGATGAGGACCTGCGTAAGAATGGGCGATCGAATGGACGGAGACCGCGAAACTCGGACCCCTCAGGCAAAGAACCCAAATTACCGACGACGGAGGCAGCAGCAGCAGCAGCAGATTTATCTACCCAGCAAATGAACTTAGTGTCTCAGAGGAAACGGAAGGCTTCTCCGGCAAACAAGTGCAATATGGCACCTGAAGGCATTGCCGAGGGGTCTACAGAGGCATGCCCTCATGAATGTGTGGCTGGGAGAAGTAAAATTGACGAAATGATGGCTGCAGATGACAATTATCAGATGCAGCCGTCGCAGATGACTGGTAATGAAGTTACGAGGAGCGTTCCCCCTATTGGGTGCAAGGCCAGACCTGCTACAGCTCGGAAGTCTAGACGGCATTCTTCACAGCCCGAATCATCCAGAAAAGGTGAATTCCAACCAGCAAGCAACGATTATATGAGCATAGAAAGCCAAGATAACTCTCCATCAGAGGCTCGTGCAGGGAATTCCTACTCCACAAGATCCCTTGAAGACTTCGTCAAGCTGAGCTCTCCTACACAGCAATCAAAAGCGAGTACTAGAGCAGACTTGTCTACTTCGAGGGTGGCTGATTCGGGACGAACTAAGCGCGGGCAACGTGCCGCAGCCGCTATAGCTAGAAGAAAAAGCATGATGTTGTGAAATATACTTCATAGTTGTTGATAAGCAGAGTCTACAATCGGTCTCCCCCCCTCCAATAAAATCACAGCATTAGCAGTGCTTTCTTGCTTTGATTTGTCCCTTCATTCATTCACATCTTCTTTTCGCTTTTAGGTTCGGCTCAAGTTCCAGCGAGTCTTCTGTAATAAGTCTGATGTCCTGCACTATTTTCTTTAACCACCCGGTAATATTTACGTGTCATATAGATAACACAGCAACACCGTCCACAAATTTCATCTTAAATGGAGTGCTATGAGACATCGGTGCGACCCAAGGACGCTCAGGGGACAAGGCAAGAAAAGACTGACCCTGATAGTCAGTATGGGTTTCCATTCGAAGGGTACTGAGGATGCGGATTTGACGGGCATGTCACTTGATGTCGTTATCGCATTGTGTAATACAGAATAGTCCCCTCATAGCATATAACAAACACTGTTGCGGAAGACCCTAACTGCTGGATACTGAAGATGGGTCACAGCGTTAGTCTGCCAAAGATCTCGAATATGTTAACGACCCTTTGTGGTCTTAGGCATTTTCTCATAGGCATTTGGGCTTGGTTTTCGTTTCGTTTTCCTCGCACGGTGACTTGATCGGCAGGTTCTTTCTTCACTGTTCGAGGATAGCCTCTGACCAGAAGAGGCATAGTTTTCTCCCTGCGCTGTAGGCGGGCGGTGTCCTGTCCTTCTATGGCAGGCCGCTTCGTCGTCGCTATCTGTGTCCGAATTAGAAGTACTGGAGTCCGAGGATTCGGATTCGGAGCTACTATCGCCAATAGGTCGGCTTTTGTGGTAGATGCAGCATACTGTGATACGTGAGCACAGTTTCGCAGAACCTATTAGCTAGGGAAGGATTACCTTTGGAACTCTTCTTCCCCATTCCTTCGTTATCTATGACATCTTCACTCCAGCGTATACGTCGAGAATTGCCCTCATTCAATTCGAGCCGATTAGCCGCAGGCTCGTCTGCTCCTCTTAACCTCAGCGTTGCTGGAACTGGAACAGCTGACGAAGTCTCGGTATGCTCCTCTGTCAGTTCCAGTTGAGAACTACTTGCTGGCTCAGACGGTATTTGACGAGTTCGAGACATGGAAATAAACTTCAATATTGACACAGCTCCGGAAACAGAGAGGTGTACTGATGTGGAATGAAAGTTAATATCGCGGGGGCTAAAAAGTCTCTTGGACCATTAGTGCGTTCAGATATATGAGGTTGCTTCTGACGAAGTATCCCTGCAAGAGGCCGGCCTCACACCGCCTTTTCGCTTCTGTACTGATACTAGAAGTCGGTGTTTACTTGTACAACGATTATTCATTGGTGTAGAATAATGATTGCTTGCTCCGGATAGTACTAGACTAGTTGATAAGTAGAAACACATCTTTGTAGTTCAGTGGCTACCTCCGACATGATATATCTACGTTCAGTACTTCTTTCTCCCTTTTAAAATTCCTTCGACCTTGTCGCTGCAGTGCCTGGCTATTCTGAACATATATTACAGGTCTTTTTTTTTCTTTCTCTTTTTGCTTTTTCTATTTCTTCATTCGCGGGCAAGCTTCGAGATTTGTTGTCACTGCAAATTGTTTGTTAAGGCACGAAGAAAGGACTGGAAGGAATACCGCGCTGCGTTCAGGAAGCACCAAGACTGATTTTACGTGAGGATTATATGGTGGAAGAAATCCAAAAGGCACTGTAAATCTCTTGTTCGTTACATGGCAATCGGTTTCAAACTTAAAGTCCATAACATGACCAGCCATCAAACCAGTCACTTGCCGAAAAAGACCTGGACTCACTGCCATGCGCTGTGGTATCGGCAGTTGATAGCGCAACTTCAGAACGTAATTCCTTGTCTAGTCATAGCTCATCCTCTTGATCCATTTCGGATGGCTTCAAAAGACCTCCTACCCTCATTGCTCGGTCTCGTTCAGCGGCTTTAGCATCCCGCAAGGCTTGCTCCCTTTCTTCCGCATATAAGTCTGCATTATCACCGGAGAATTCCTTCAGTGATATCAAGAAATCACGCAGATGCGTCTTGAACTTGTTAAAGTCGTCATTGAAAGCAAACAAGCCAACAACAAATTGTTTGATTTGGATTCTGGAAAACATTAGCCTGTCATTCAGGTTTTCTTCGATCCAAGGGCTCCTCATGATCGGGTAGAACGTACTCCTGGAGGTTCTTGAAAGCATTTTGTAGGAGATTCGCAACATATTCTTGCAAGAAATCTTTGTTGGATGTCCCTAAGGGTGCCTGCTCAGGAGAATAGATCGGGTTTTGCACTTTGCCAGACTCAACGAAGTAAAACATGCGCGACAATAGCATGGCCTGTGATTTAAACCCTGTTGTCATAGATATTAGCAAATTTCTGTCTACAAAATTTAGACTACATACCGGCTTTGTGATCACTGTCCGTGAGGACAAAGAATACATCCTGCAAGATAGGAATGTAGAACTGTTGGAAGAAGATATTTGAGGTCTGAGCATCAGTGTCGGCCATGTTATTCATGAGCTCGAGGCACATTGTGAGACCTGTATTTTCGACTTCACGATTGTCGTGTTTGCTAGCCCACATGCAAGAATCGATGACAAACTTGAATTGCGTAGCATCAAGCTTCAGCAATGCCGGGAAACAGTACAAGTTAATCGCTTGAATCAACTTGAAGAACTGGACACGGTGCTCTGGATAGTCATGGAAGTCTTTGTTGATCATTCCCAGTGTGCATTCAAAGACGCTTTCCATTATCAAGGGGACTTTGTCTTCCATCAAGTTCTGGGTAGCAGCACATGTCAGCTTCGTATTCATCCTGCAAGGCTTCAATGTCAATTAGTGGGGCTTGGCGTACATGTAACTTGTGGATTATCGTTGTCATGACGTTCAAGACCTCCGCCTCGCGCGCATCAGGAACGTTGCGGTTATAGTCGACGAGCACGGCCTCCAGGAGTGGAGGAACCATATTTGCATTTACCATCTCCAAATCGTCGGCTTTCTGCACGTAGGTGTCGATAAGTTTGAGTATTTCCTTCTTGATCGTCCTTAGACCCCGGACTTTCGGGGTCTTCGTTGCAATGTTGCCTATTTAATGTCAGAAAGCTCTAAGAACTAGCATGCTCGGTGCATAAGGGGCGAAGTGAAACGGAAAATGACGAGAGGTAAGAGTAAAGCGGGGCAGAAGAAGACATGTCAAAAGAGCACATCCTTACCATCATGCGCAACAGCGTCACTTATAAGCTGGCTGGAGGCACGGAACATGTTCAGCATGTCATGATAAATCCGTCCAAGCTGGGAATAAAAGTAAGTGCCCACGGAGGAACATGCTGCGACGTTCGTCTTCATAATATTTCCGATGATTTTTATCGTCTCGCCATCTTGAAGTATAGCGGGGTTTTGGTTTGCCTGTACTATGATGGCATCCCAAGCCGAGTTAGGCAGGGACATCAGATTCTCAATCAGTCGATCCTGTAGGCCTTTTTGGCCTTGTGCCGAGATCATGTAGCCACAGGCTTCGTAAAAAGTGTGGACCTGCTGGGGCGAAAGATCACAGGTGATTTTCCTCATATTGCGAACGATTTCCTCAATGAATGGTTCGTTCTCCCCCGGCTGGAGAGCAACAAAATGCCGCCTGCATTTGTTCGCGATTTTGATAAATGTATCGCAAGCCATATCCTGAACACCTGGTTTGGGTTAGTTAATGACTTTCCGTCTGCGGGGCAGCAACTCACCTTCATGAGTCTCATGCATGAACTCGAAGAGCTTGTTCACCACAGTCTTCAAGAATTTCCAGTGGGCTTTCAGGAATCTTGGATACTGTCCGACAATGTACATGATATTACTGGCCACGACAGCTTTGTTGTCCTTTCCACGCTTCATTTCGGTAAGACCAAGGAGGTCTTTGATGACATTGACCAGGAATCGCTTTTCGGTCTCTTCGTTCATGGCTCCGGAAATCGAACCAATGGCCCAGCAGAGAGTGTTACAGTTGGCCCAGGACCATTCAGACCCATCAACCTGCTTGGCTAACTTTTCGATCATGATATTCTCTGTGTCGACGACATCCAGATGCGTCAGATAGACAAGACATTCGCGTATCGTCTTGTAAAGCTGAATGGTGTCACTCTCCTTGACAAATTCGCGAACAATTTCGCCTTCGTCATTTTCAACAATTAAAACTTCCTCAGGACGCACCATCTTCTCAATCATGACCGTGCGAAGGCTTGATAAAACTTCCTCGTACTTGTGTTTCCGAAGAGGGTAGTTGGCCAACGTGCTGGGGTGCGGTGCACCTCCGTTCGACAGGCCGCTAACACCCATACTCACCAAAGGATTGATATCTGTGATTGGGAGCTGCTGCATCTCTTCGTACAGTTCTTGCACTAGCCTCGTCCAATATTCCAGGCAGATCTTGAAGACTTCCCTGTCGTCGATCTGACTGATACGAATGAGGTAGAAATGGGCGTGGGTGAGGTAGTCACGGTTGGGCAATTTTTCGATGAGCTGGATAAGTTAGCATGGACCTGATTGCTATGCCATGGAGACTCACATTCAGATGAGCGCTAAAAAAGCTAGAGAGAAACAGTGCCAGATTGAGAACGAACTCTTGGTCCCTCGAGTTGCTCTTAGCATAGGTCTGTTTCAAATCCATGGACAAGGGGATGATTCTTGAAACCGCAGTGAGCGTTTCCGTAAACATATGGACAAGCCTTTCATCGTAATTGTACGGGTTGCCAATTTGTAACCCGCCGATTTCAGTAAGGCACTTGAGTGTGACATTCCTGAACTCAGGAACATCCAGAAACCGCGTCAGCAGGGTGTTTATGATGGGAGTTTCGAAGATATATCCTAAAGGGATCCAGTTCAAGAAACGAAGCAGAGTCTCTAGTGTAGCTTTGATAAGACTTGGTTGGTTCGCCGTGTTCAAGACCTCTGAGCATAGCTGGAAAATGGACGAGAACTCCTGCGTCATTGAGGTCTTCAAATTTCTCGCTTTGACCGAAGTCATTTGATCCTGGGAAAAGTCAAACACTTCTTCGGATAGTAGACGAAGAATTGCCATGTTATTTTCGCAGATGGACAGGCTGGTATGACAAGACGAGATGATTTCGTTGATAAAAGTTGGCCAGTTATGTGGCCACTCCTGTTTCAGGATGGAAACAAGAACTAGGTTGAGCTTATTCAGGAAGGCTCGTTCACTCCTTAACTTGTCCTCCGATTTCGAGTTTTCGATGATGAAGTTGACAATGAAATTCCGAATACCTGAGGATGTTAGAGAGGTTTGACAATCGAGGCTAGCTTAAAGGAATCACCTAGGCATTGCTCCCTGGGTAAGACCTTCCATCGCGTCATAATAACATCGTCAAGGACCTGGAGAGCAAGATCTGATTCTATCAGCGCACGGCCGTCTGCAGCATAGAGTGAGGCATCGTCTCGCACATTTAGTCTGTGGGTATGTTGATTCTTGTAGAATATTTCCCACAATCAACCAAGCATCCGGATTTTGCTTGAACTGGCCACCGGAAACAAGTTAGAGCTGGATGAATGGTATGTACTATGCAATTCGGTCACTCACCTCCGTAAGGGTCTGCTGAGCTTGCTTTTGCTGTGAGCCGCATAACAGGTCAGTTCACATCTCGATTACGAGGACAGGCAGTGAAAGACATAAGCGCCCAGATCCTTGCGACATACCAGATCTCCCTTGCCCTCATAGAAGGCCCGGACAGTGTTGTCCAACTCTTGTATGGAAACAGACATTCCGCTCCTGAGGTTGACAGTACTGTACGCTGCGCTCCTCGGCCTTCAATAGACGATTCAAGCAGGCGAGATCTAGATGAAGACTCAATAGGGTCTAGAGAAGGCCGTAGATACGAGATGGCGTAACAGAAGAATAGGTTGGCAGAATATATGGCGGGGTAAGAGGCTTCCTTGGAGGGGTTCGTCGGAGGTAGGGTGAGCTTGGAGCAAACTCCTGCCTGAAGATGCAGCAGCCTTGGAGAAGCAGCTGGTAAAGTGGGGTACGGTGGCTGTAATTTAGGATGAGAGTTCTGGCTTTGGGATCTGGATATTTCTGGAAAAAAACAATGCGTACTACGGAGTACTGGCGGTGAGAACAGCGCGTCTCTCGGATTGTTGGCGCTATTCTATCGGACCGGTGCGATGTATCTCCATTTAACCTTAGTCATCAATTAGAAGCTCTGACCTATAACTAGTTAGTCAACTAATTAGTATGTAATGAATTTACCGGGTTCGCAGTAGTAGCTATAGAACTACATAGACTACGGAGTACCTGTTGTTGTTATTACTGGTAAAATGATCATTCAGGTTCACACGATCAAAATACTTGTGAAGTGGTAATAGCGAAGTAGAAATTCTTGCATAGTATGTCAACCACGAAACGCCTTCAGGCCCTCTGCAGATTCGATTAGGTAACTTGAGCTTGCTTATAATAACCGGATCTTTCTCTGAATTTGCGGTTCTACTCATTGAGTCCGAATCTGACATTTGGGGCCGTGCAAGGCACATCTTAGGTATCTCGATATCATTTCGCTTCGGTGTCCGTTCAACTATTTGGCCAGTACTATATAACCCGTGGCTACATGTATGGTGAACAGAAAACCAAATATCTTCGAATGTACTCCGTAGCATCTGGTCCTTGTGCACTTAATAATGCTGCTTATTCATTGAAACAAAATTCCCACTTCCACAATACCATTCCTCCAGCATAAGCTAGCATCAATCAATATGGAAATCATTTCGAAGATATAGCTTTCTCTCCATATTGAGATTTAAGTGGATAAAGAAAGATACTATGTAGTTTGTGCTAGGATACCAGCGCCGCCCGAGCAATCCTTCGGTCACTTGGTAGTAGACTACGAGACTATTACTAGATACAGCCAGAAGCTGGGAAATTTTGTCCGCCAACCCTCTGTTACTCTTGGCAAACTTAAAACGGACGGGGTCTACAGGTACTCGAAATAGTCAGGGAACTGCTGTTCAACTACGTACAAAAGACGGCTTGAATATGCCATTTGTGCTGTTCAATTCGAAGGTGAATGGTGTGCGTAGCTGATATATCACCACGATATCGTGTACATCACCTTCTATTGACTTTACTGACTTCATTATATTATAATGAAAGAAAAGAAAAGAGATGGCAAAAAGCTCCTAGTAGTACGGAGTATGTTTACTGCCCAGCTTTCACAGAGGACTAAATTATTTACTGGTAAATCCAAGTGTGAGTGATATTGCCATTTGAATTTTCCGGACGATATTACAGACAACGGGGGGAAGGGGGATTGGGGGGTCCGCGGTAGGTAAGGTGCTGTGCCGTACTAACCGCAACCGCGTCCCTCCTGCGCCAATGGCGAATAATTGGCGGGAAAAGGCAGGCGCTGGTAAGCGACCGAGCTATTGTGTAAGCGTGTTCCACACCCACCATTTCAGGCTGTCAACGCGCAGGTCGCTTCGACCCACCAGGAACCTCTTCCGCCGCCGCCGTGCCGCGCTTCCCTCGCGGGTAGAGCAGACGGCAGTGCAAAAGCCACCGAACCAAGGCGAGTCGATTCCCCCTCCCAAAAGTGGCGTGTCGCCTGAGCGCGCCATCGCTCCAACTCATGCGTCTTTTAACTTCACGTCCAACCAACCAGAAGCTGCTTGCCGGGGTTGTGGTAGCCAACCAGTTGCTTCGCGCCGCTCATGGCCGATCGCGCGCCAACTTCAATCCTGTCGAGTGCTCAGCAGCCAGCTGGCAGCCGCATCCTTCTGCCAGGATGTACGACACCCAATGAATGACTCCAACTCTACGGTGCATCCATCCCACTAAGGTACTGCTAGTACATCGACTCCCCTGGTCGTTTACCTCTTCATTTACTATTTTTCTTCCCGCCCCCCTCCTTACGGCTGCTCGTCTTTCCTTTTTCTTTCCTGGGTTTGCAACTAGGTACTATTGGTTCCTTAGTGAAATGCCTCGTTTCTTGATTCCCACCTGCAGGCGGCAAAAAATTTCGTTCTAGGAGTCCGTTTCGACATACTACTCGCTGACCTATAATTGTTATCGTTTGCCTATCCATCTTCTCTCCACTGCTAGTACGACCACGGCCACTACACTTTCCCCTCCTTCTTTCCTTTGACGCCGTTCCCCTCTTTTCTATTTAGTAACCGCCCTATCTCGAATCCATGGCTTTGAATTGATGAGAGACGGCCAGACATTCCCCATTCCAATCTACCCATCTTAATCTAGCATTTTAACTCGCTTCACGTAACCTGCGCTTCATAGTTGCGATTCTCCCCTCTGTTATTGTTTTTTCTAGTTCAAAGCGAGGAACGCGCTTTCTATTTTCCTCTCTTCTTTGCCCCCTCCTCTTCGCGAATCTTCCCTGCAATGTCCAAAACATTCTCGCTCCTACTTCTGCGCTGAATAATTGTTTCCTTGCCTCTACCGCCGGGGGTTCCCTCAGCCCAACAACAACTCAAGATCAGCCCTTTAGTGGCACGATACTAAGGGTAGTCATACAAGACACCTAGTCATTTACTAGGAAGCACCCTGATATCGAAATACTACGATAACCTTCTCTATCTCACTTTTCAGCTTAGTCGACTTGCACGATATATGTTTTCGCCCTAATCTCCTGCACCGCTTCTTGAGCTTGCATCCCTTATGGACTGTGTTTCATGTGCTTGTTTGGAGATTACAAATGATTCAATTCAGCGCACATAACTCACAAGATAACATTGGGCAATCTGCAGATCCGGACAGGCACGTCTAGCGATTTCATCGTCCATTAGCCAGTAAGTGGCGGTAATCGTCATCGGGTACAAGAAGCGTTATACTAGAAGCAAATGTCGGATAATTCAACTTTCATCCGCGCTGATCTATAAAAATCTATTACACCGAGCTGTTCATTTACCATGGCAACAGTGGCTTCTACATCGGTAATGAATGATCAAGACACCGAAAAAGTGCCCAGGGCAGACCATAGCCCTTCTCGATTTACTGCAGTGAATGGGAAAGAGCCCTCGGTGACTGCGGGAGCCGTGCCCACACCGGCTGTTACCGATTGCGCCGCTGAGTCTCCTGATGTCTTCGTACGAAATGGTTTGGATGCGCAGTCTCGCCTCGACGAACAAATACAGGGCAACGTGAACCCCGAGAGCGGCAACAGCGCTAATGAACAAGAGGAGCCCCATTCTCAGCGGTCACCTTCCCTGAGTGGCTCGTCGGGTCCCAGCAAAAGCAAACGGAAAAGATCGGAATCTGGGGAACAAGAAGAAAGCCATGGTATGCTTCGCAGGGCTCCGAAGAGCCCGGTTCTGCGTTCAGATGATACGAGCCAACCCCTCACTCAGACATCCACGTCTAATGACACCGGCATGTCCCATGGGGAAAACGATATCAAGCACCCATCCCCTTCTACTCAGGCTCGATTGGAGGAAAATGGGAGTGATAACCGAACGCCACCGGCGAATACAGCATGGCATGATTATGATTCCCAGCTGGTACATCAAGCCCAGCGTGCACAACAGTTTGACGCATCCGATGCTCAATTGGCTGAGGCACTTCAGCGCGAGGCCAATGGCCATGATTCGTCTCAAAAGAATTGGGGTACAAGCGGTCGTCCAACGGAAGGGCCAGCACAGAGTGAGCAACCATCCTCACTATCTGTACTTCCTCAGGAGCGGTCACAGGCAGCCGTCCAAGTTGCACCCAAGAGAAAACGCGTGTTTAGTAACCGAACCAAAACAGGTTGCATGACTTGCCGGAGGAGGAAAAAGAAGTGCGATGAACAACATCCTGCCTGTAAGTTTGGTGATATGGCTTCCGTAGCTATGTTGTGGTATGGTTACGATCTAACTTCATCGATGTTGTAGGCAACAACTGTATCAGAGGGGGATTTCTGTGTGAGGGCTATTCATCTCGAAGCACCTGGCAAAAGCCGTCAAATTCAAAGACGCCAGTTCCACTACAATCAAAGGAAGGCTATCTGGATATCAATTCTCAGTATGTCCACGATATAAGTCAGCATGACCGGCAACAAACCATGCCGGAACAACTTGATTCAGGGAAAATCAGGCCTATTGTTGTAGACGAAAGTGACCGGGCAACTGCCTCGTTCAATACAAGTCCCACAGGAGCTAGTTCCGGTCGTGGTCCATGGACGAAACGCAGCTGGGGAAGCACAAACCACCCTTCCTATATCTCCGATCATGTGGCAAAGCCTGATTACCGCGAGGTCCCCTCGATTCATGAATTATCCCGCGAAGGTCATGCTAAGTCCGACTTCCCAATTGTTCCTCCTATCAGAGAGCTTTCTCATGGAGGTCATACCAAACCCGGGACAGTCCCGCTCTTCCAAGGAGGGATGGACCAACGGTCAACACATTCCGGAAACGTGGACACTAATAGTCCCCAGGCTCAGGCGCGGATGGCGCTTAGCATCGAGCACCAGTTATCGACTCGTACGTTATCGACCGAGGATACAGAAAAAGATAAGATGATACGTGGTGACCTCTACCGGCCTTATGATGTTCACCTCGTGGAAGAGAGGGATCGCTGCAAGGCCGCCCTATGGCGGTTCAATAATGCCTGCAATCCTATTTCGGGGTTAAGCACTAAGGAGCAAAGTCGGCTACTGAAAGAAGTGCTTGTTCTTCCAGGCTCAGTTATCAACTCACCCCCTGGTTTGGCTTCATCTCGTTCGACAGGGTCGTTAGGGCAAGGTGCTATTGTTGAGGCACCTTTCTACTGTCATTATGGATACAACGTGCATATCGGTGAAGATGTCATGGTCTCAGAAAACTGCTTGTTTGTTGATGACTGTCCTGTAACCATTGGTGCCCATACCTGGATAGGTCCCCGGGTTACCATACTTACATCAATGGCCCATGCTAATATGCAAGAACGCAAAGGCTCACAAAGCCGATATCAAGGGCGCCCTGTTACAATTGAGGAAGATTGCTACGTTGGGGCTGGCTGTACAATCTATCCTGGTGTTCGACTACGACGCGGGGCGTATGTCGCTCCTGGAGAGGTAGTAAAGTCAGACATTGTAGCCTATGGTTTCCAGGGACTAAAGCCAAGTTATATGTGATTCACGTGCATGTCTGTTGGTACGTACCAGCTGATTATTATTATTATTATTTTTTTTTTTTTGGCTTTCAAGATACCAACCATTCTCTACTTGTCTATCTCATCAACCGTCAGCTTTGCTTGTAATTATACCGATTTATTTTCAGCACCCATTTCGAGGGATCTGGCTGGCTCAGAGCACAAGGTGTGAAGCTTATATTTGACATGACTTTTAGTTTTCCATCAACCCCTATTAGTATTCTTTGATAACAGAAGTGGTCCGCAGGCATAAGGGGTGAAGTGATGCCTGTCCCTTTTCTACTATCAGAGCAGCTAGATACCTAAATATCTTTACAGGAGCATTGCATTTAGGCGACAGACTGTAGGATTTGGGCGGACATGAATCATCAAGTTGTTTAAATTGTGTATCGGAATTTGGATTCCAATCGTCCAGCAGGAGATGAGGTTATATAATTGGATTAACAGGGACAAGCGGGAAAAGAAAAAGGAAACCAGTCTGGCTATGTATAGTATGAAGGCGA